TTTCCTTCTTACAGAAGAGATACTATATATATATATATATATATATATATACACTGTAAAAACTTAAATGATGTAGAAATTCATTAAAAATAAATTGCATCAGCTAGAAGTAACTTTTATGAGCATTAATAAATCCTAGACATCTGTTCAGGCACAGATAGATGATATAGACAGGTGAATGGCTCCATGGCTGAGTCTGATAAGGAAGAATAAGTTTATCTCACATGGCAATACCTCATACTTACCTTTTTTTTTTCTTTTTTTTCTTTTTTGTTTTTTTTTTTTTGTCTTTTTGAGACAGGGTCTACCTGTAGCCCCAAATGACCTTGAACTCATTATGTAGACCAGGCTGGCCTTGAGCTCACAGAGATCCACCTGCCTCTGGCTCCCAAATCCTGGGACTAAAGGCTTGTACCACCACACCCGGCTATATTTACCATTTTTAAAGTTAGTGTTTATTTTCTTTTTAAAAAAATATTTTTAACTAAGTGGACCGTGTGGTATACACATTTAATCCCAGCACTCAGCAGCCAGGAAGCAGAAGCAAGTGACTCTCTATGAGATAAAGGCCAGTCTGGTCTACACAGGGAGTTCTAGGCCAATTGGGGCTATAGGGAGGCTTTGTCTCAAAAAGACAAAAACAAAACAAAACAAACAAAAAAAACCCCACACATTTACATTTGCTTATTTTCATTTGTGTCTGCATGATGGTCATAGGACAATTCTTGGTTATCAGTTCTTTCCTTCCACCATGTGGGGATCCAACTCAAAGCATCAGACTTGGTGGCAAGTGTCTTGACTCCCTGAGCCATCTCAACAGCTCCTTCTCTTTCTTTTCTTCTCTTTTACTATTTCTTTTTCAGTATTTAATTGGGATTGAACTCAAGACCTAATGCAATCGAGGCAAGAGTTCTACCACTTTTTTATATAGAGAGAAGGAAAGTAGGCCATTATGGGATAAAGGAATGTTTATATTTTAAACATCTCTTTACCACATGGAAGATTTGCTTCTTACATAGTCTTCCAAAGATTGAAAAAAGTGAAGAGGAAGAATAGGTTCAGGCTCTGGTATCTCAGTTGCGGAGTGGGCCCTTTTCCCTACCTACCCCACCCCGGTGTATGTTAGCTGCCATTCTCTTTTCCATAACAGTAACTGCCATGGTTGTTTATTATTGGACCTATAATTACAGAAGTTCATGTTCTGTAAGAGTCCTTTCCTTGTCTATAACTGCTTCCCTATCTAAAAACTCCATTCCTTCATCAGACATGACTGAACTCCTTGTATATAAGGAGACAGCAAATCTAGCTCAAGAGTTACAGAGGGATGGAGCCAGAAAGGAACTGATTCTAGATAAACTGACTCAAGAGAAAAAGCCAGACTAGAGACTGGAGACTATTCCAGGAAGAAAGAACAGTAGAGCAAAAGCTGGAGGCACTTGAGAACCAGGTGATGGGTCATTCAGGAAGGATTACTGAATGAGACAGGACAACAATGGTTGCATGCACAATTTTCCATTAGGTAAGGAACCGTGTGCTCTGAGCTGACCACCTCTTCTCTGCCACTAGCTCCATAAATATGGGTAGAATCATGAGCAAGTGAATGGCCCTTGTGAGAGCAGGAGAGGGCTTAGGCCCAGATACGGAAGCACTCAGGGAGGCATGTGCTTGGCAAAAGCTGGAAAGAAAGGAGAAGTTTGTGCTGAAACTTAGAAAATGAAGTTGGAATTTGCTAGTTTACCAAAGAAGAAAATGCAGCTGTTGGAGCAAAGGCAGCAGTGTGTGGAGGATGAGAGACTGGATGTCAAAGTCACTGTAAAAGGTTAGACCAGAGAATGTTAAGCTGGATTCTGAGGTCTTGCATTTGTGATTTCACCTTTGTCTGGAAGGAGGGTGCTATTAAAGATTTGTGAACAGGACTGAGATTCAAGGTCTCAGTTAGGAAGATCACCCGGCTTGTCATGCAAAGGATGGATTTCAGTATAGCCCGATCAGAAACCAAGAGTCCAGTTAGGAGGTGGTTGCAGAAGGCCTGATGAGCAAAGCCTGGACTTGAGTTGTCACCTTGGGAAGTCAGAGACAAGGTTGGGTATGGAGAACACTGAGGAGAATGAGTCTACCAGATAAACAGGTCTGAAGGAGAGAAGGGAGATGCAGTGATGATTGCCAGGCTTTAAGTCTCAGCAACTGGGAATTGGATGAGAAACAAAACAAGAAGATGCAGATACAAGAGGGGTCTTGGAGTCCTTACTGTGAGCTATTAGAAGTTGAGGTTAGCAGATGGCCACAGCTGTCCCTAATCAGATGAAGATATAATTTTAGTTTTCTTAGACAGTCTCTTTATATAGCCCAGGATGGCCTAGAGTTCTCTTATCTAAGTGCTAATGAAATACCACTCTGCTGGGGCTAGAGAGATGGCTCAGCTGTTGGCTCAGCGGTTAAGAGCACTGACTGCTCTTGCAGAGGACCCAGGTTCAATTCCCAACACCCACATGGCGGCTACAAACCATCCTTAACTCCAGTTAAGGGGAATTAGTTCCAGGGGAACCCCAGGATGGCCTAGAGTTCTCTTATCTAAGTGCTAATGAAATACCACTCTGCTGGGGCTAGAGAGATGGCTCAGCTGTTGGCTCAGCGGTTAAGAGCACTGACTGCTCTTGCAGAGGACCCAGGTTCAATTCCCAACACCCACATGGTGGCTACGAACCGTCCTTAACTCCAGTTAAGGGGAATTAGTTCCAGGGGAATTAATTAGTTAATTAATTAACTAATTCCAGGGGAATCCGAAGCTCTCTTCTGACCTCTGTGGCATTGTATGACATGGACGCACTCAAATACATGCAGGCAATACACTCATACACTAAAAATAGTAATAAAATAAAATATTGAAAAAAAGAAATACCACTCTGTGAAGCTTCCTACATCAGGCAAGATCAGGTGTGTTCAGAGTTTCATGACCATAAGCTCTTAATTCTCCTGCCTTGGTCTCCAGATTACAGGCATGACTACCTACCATGTCAGGCAGGCAAGATATGCATTTAGCAGTCACACACACACATACACACACACACACACACACACACACACATATATGGTTAATATGTTGGGCAATAGTGAACACACCCAGGTAGGGAGGATATTGTAAAGGACATGGTCAAAAACCAAACTCTAAAGAATGAATGTCTGTGGGCTCGAAACCAGCATAGGTCTCTTGTATTCAGAAATTACTCAGCAAATCAGTAAAGTTTGGTTCTCTGCTTTCAGCACTGATGCCTCCGTGCTGAAGACAAGCCAGCCCTCCTCTCCTCTGTGTCTATCCAGTGACAAGTCCCTTAGATTCAACCACTCACCCTTCTTCACACTCACAGTCACGCCTCTGGAAGACTTCTATCTCTTCCTTCTGCGTTCTGCAACAATCCTCCAAATTCAATTCCCTTCTCACTGA